TTCAGACCCCAAGCAGGAAAACAAGAGCTTGGCCAAGTATTCTCCATACCTAGATATTCATTAAAAGTTCCACTTAAGTGCAAGCCCCTCTATGTCTTCTTCTAGCATCAGAAATGTCTTGGGTAGCCCTGGGTGGAGACCACTGCTTTGTGCCAACACCAGCAGGCAGAAGCACCCCTTGAAGTTTTAAAATTCCAGTGCCCACACCCAGGTCGAGAGGTTCTGAATCCAGGTGCCTGTCCCCTTCCAATACCCTTGGAGGTTCTCACTGCCGTTCCAACACCTGTGCACCCTCAGTGCTTGCTCAGGGCTCCAAGGCATGGAAGGCAGACTCCACATGGCCAGCTGGCTCGGGGTTCATTCCCAGCTGGTCCTCGGCCCCAGCCCTCCTCTTTGGCCTGCTCTGCACCTTCTGCCTGTGCCCAGGTAGTCAGGCTCTCTGCTGAAGACCACAGGATGCACTTTGGAGATGCCTAAGCAGATCCCAAGTGTGGGCTCCTCATTTTGCCAGATCTGACTTCTTGGCTCTGCTCTCCATAGGACCACTTGCACCAGGTTTGTGAGTTTATGCACATGGTGTGCATGCATGCACTGGGTGCGGGAAGACTGCCCCCAGCCTCATGGGAACCTGGAAGCACATCTCTTGGTTGTTTTCACACCCAAGACCAGGTCCCCCCAAGGCATGGCATCAGCCATCCCTGCAAAGACCAGGCTGACTGTATGCACTGCCTGGTAAGTCAGAGTGTCGTCTACACCTGTTCTCTACAGACTCAAATGTCACCAAAGGTTCTGGACTGGATAGCCTGCACCATGGAGGGCTACCTGGCCACTCCTCAGAGATTGCGGGCAACCAGCTCGCCTGCAGACCTTGGACCACAAGCAGCACTGTGTGACTGGCTGTGCCACAGAGTGGTGTAAATTCCAGAGCCCCAAGCAGGGCCCAGGTTGGCACTGTTCTTGGGACACAGACAGGGATGAGCTTTGGTGTGGGCGAGTTTCCCCGATGCGCCTGTCATGCTCCATGACTTGCATACACCTCTTGTGTCTTCCTCTTTGGCTCCAACCGTGGGAGCTCCCATCACCCAGGTTCTAGCCAGTCCCTGGAGATGTCTTTCCAAGGATATTGTCCAAAACCAAGTCAAAGAATCCCAGTCTCCCTACCATTCGGCTCTACCCAACTGCAAGCACATTTCAAGCTGCAGGATCACTCTGGAATTTTGCTTATTTGAAGAGTCTACCTGGTGTTAATCACTTGCCTGAACCACACTGAATACAATTTTCCTTACACCCTACGCTGGATGGAGGACAGCGCGGGTCTGCACGCATCTGCTTCCTGATGCATGCCTTTCAGCCACCTCCCAGAGCCCCACACTGTTTGGTTTTCCCCTCCCCAGAGCAGGGATAGTAGCCTACCTCTGCTTTTTATTCCCTGGGGTGGAACCAACTACTCTGTCCCTTGAAGGGTACGTGAACATCAGGATACACAAACCTGATGACCCTGAAAAAGCAGCCACCTGCAGAAGGAGTTGCCAACAGCATCTGCAGAGGGCAGCTTGCCTTCAGAAGGCTCCACTGTCCCTGCTTTTCACACATGCCAGAGTGGACAAAGTCCTGACTGAGTGTGCTAGACTGGTCCTTATCCCTGTGCACACAGGGCCCACCAGGCCCCAAAGGACCAAGGACACTGTGGGGCTCAGTGCATGGCACTACACTGGGCCTTGACTGTGGGCCCCTTTTCATTTAGGCTGGATGCCACCAGCAGGTTTGCAGAGAACAGTTTCCAGAGATGGGAACAGCCATAAAGTTAGCACAGTGCAGGAGCAATATGGCCTTGGGCGTTGTCATCGAAGCCACAGAAGAGACTTTATTCTTTGGATCCAGGAGCTTCTAGATTTATCCTTGATTTCAAAAACCAGCCAAAGCAGCCTGGATCTGCTAAGTAGCTCAGCTGGCTCAGTAACTCAGGCTCCACCCGTGGTACTGCCTGAATGGCGAGCCTGGAGCTGGTTTCCAGCCAGATGACTGTCACTGCACAGGCCTGCAGTAGGTGGCGATGGATTCCATTAGGTAAGCGGGAACTGGGCCAGCAGCCCGTCTGAGCAGTGCTATCACCAAGACGTGGAATGCCTCTTGTTTGCCTTGACCTTTCTGGAAAGGACAGGGCCCAGGGACCTGGGACCTTCCAAAGGCATGCCAGATCATTTATCCTTCCTCCTACATGTTACAATCTCACAAATTCTCTTTATTGCTCATAGCTCCAATCATACCACTGCTAAGGGACACCTCCCAGAAATCCTTCCATGGGCAAAGAAATCTGTTTCTTAGACCAAGAGCCTCATGCAGCCACACACCAGTCAGCAACGCTGTACCCAGCCATGAGTACATGGAGCCAGCACACCACAGGAAAGCTGGCTCTATGAATCCCCAAAGTGCACCCTTTCCGACACCCTTGCTTCATGGTCCCAGCTACATAAAGTCTCCTGGGGCTTTCAAAACTACAAAAGCCAAGATCTGAGCACATTCTGTGTCTGCACAGGAACCCAAACCAGAGTAACATTTTGGAAGCTCCTGTCTCTTGGACAATTCTGTTCTCAGTAAAAGGAGGAACTGCCCTGAGTAAGACACAGACCTGCAGAACAGGTGGCCACTGCAGTCATGGGACATTGTAATGGGGCTTTATCTTATCTCCCCATCCTGGGGCATCCAAGTGTAGGAAGGATGATAGGGAACAAGACCAGGAGCCCTCAGTGTATTGTGCTCAATAGTGCCCCTCCCCCAAATTCATGTCCACCCAGAATCTGTAAATATGATCTAACCTTATTTGGAAACAGGGTCTTTGCTGATAAAATCAAGTCAAGATGAGATCATACTAGATAGAGGAGGTAGCTGAGGCCAACGGCTGGTGTCCTTAAAAGAAGATTTGGACCCAAATACACACACACACACACAAACACACACACACACACAATGTAGAAGTCCACGTGTAGATGGATGCAGAGTGGAGAGGGTTGCATTTGTACCCCAAGAAATACCAAGGACGGCAGGGAGCCATCCAAAGCTGGGAGAAAGGCCTGGAACAGACTCTCCCTCAGTGCCTCCAGAAGGAACTGCCCTTGCTGACATCTGGATTTCACTCTGCTGGCCTCCCGAACTGCAGACAATAAATTCCCCTCACTCAGAGCCACCTGGTTATGGTCATGTGTCCCAGCAGCCATGGGAGACAGGACAACCACACTTTGTAGGGCAGCTCTGGCCTGAAAGTAGACTCCCGCACTGGGACAGGGTTAAAAGTTTTGGCTTCGTGATGATTTTGATGCAATGCTTTGGACACCAGTGCCAGGAAATCTACACAGAGCAGAGCAATGGGCAAGGAGAAAGGAAGGCCAGAGGCATCTGCGAGAGCTCCTCACCCCTCAGCAAGCCCCGCTCCAAACCACAGCAGCAGCAGCTCCCAGCCCAGTGGATGCCTTAGCACACAGCTGGGCAAGACAGAAGTCACTGCCTGGAAATTCTCCCCACATGGCTGGGAGGGGAGGGTGGTCCCAGGCCCTGCTCCTTCCTGCTAGGCTCCTGTGAACCAATTCCCCAGTTCCCTTCTGGGGCCCCATGACTTGCAGGTCAGAAGCACAGCTTCTCTTGGCACTAGAGCCCCCACAGGCCAGTACTCCCAGAGGCTACCCCCTCCCCCTCCAGAAGGCAGTTCACAGCTCCCTCAAGGGGAGGAGCCTCTTCCTTACCCTCCACATCAAAGCTAAATTGGAGAATACTTCATTTTCCTCAAATCAGGTGTGGTGGAAACTATCTTATAAGTGCTCACCACACCCAAAGCCCAGATGGCCTGAGCCACCTGGTTCCACAGGTAGGAAGGACTAAAGGCTCTCCAAGCTGGGCAGGTGGTCCTCATGGCTAACTGTGATGGGGCAAGCCTTGGGAGGGGGCGGGGGTCACTGACGACCGCAGGAAGACACAGAAGCCCCAGCTTCAGTTCTGGCAGGTGAGGGATACCCACCCAGTCTTGCCCCATTGGGCAAAGGATACTCAGCGGTTGACAAGGGACAGACATTAGGGGGAAGGCAGAGGGGCTGTGGGGGCCCACCTGCTGCCCCCCCCCCCGAGTGTGCCACCATCATGACAGGAGAGATCTGCAGTGTCAGCCCTGGGGGGACACTGCATTACTGCTGTTCTCTGACTCTGAACCCTGCTCCTGGGGACCAGCCCGTATAACTGAGCTCCTCCCCCATCCTTGGGGGGACACAAGTCCTGAGGGTTCAATGACCAATGTAAGTAGCCATGTAATCCCACTCACCCCCTCCAGTCACCAAAGCTCCAGTTTTGGGGGTACGTCCTGGGAAAAGTCACAGGCAGCAATGTATTCAGGGTGCTGGTCCCTGCAGGGCCCTGTTTGTGGGGCCTTGTGGGCAGGGCACTTAGCAAGGAGACAGGCCACCCGTCTCTATGGGCCTTTCTCAGTGTCTCTCTGAGCCCTGAGTAGGGGGACTTACATCCTGCCCTGTTCAATACGCTCAATATATCAGCCCCCAATTGGGGCCCACAGAAGAAGCACCCCCCTCTACAAATCCGAGAATCCCAGCTCCCACGTCACCTGTGAGAGTTTCTCCGTAGGGTCTCTAGTCTCCAGCCACCCCCACCCCAGCTATGTCCCCCTTTGCCCTGCCCCCCAGCGCTGGCATCTCAGGGCGGCCGCCTGCCAAAACCCAAGCCCTTCCCTGGCTCCCTTTTGAGGGGCTGGAGCTGCTGCGGAATTTCGGTGGGATTTTGAGGTCGCAAAGCATCTCACTAAAGAGAGGGAAAGAAAGGAAGAGCGGGAGGGGGGAAAGAAAGTACGCTTTGGGCGTCCACTTGCGGAATTCTTGGGGGACCCGAGTGCACCGGGTGTCTGCCTCTGGGCGGCGGGTGGGGCGCAGCGGAGCCTGGGGGTGGGGGGCGAGAGAGCGCCGGGCGCTGGGCCGCGCGGGCGGGCCCGGTATCGCGCCGCTTACCTACGTCCGCATTGCAAAACGCCTGTTGCGGGTGCACCGGGGAGCAGCTGCAGGCGTCGGCACCGCGCGGCAGGGTCCCCAGGAGCAGCAGGCCGAGCGCCAGCCGCAGGCTGCGGGCCGCGGCGCCCATGGCGGGCCGGGGGTCGGCGGGGGCCGGCACGCCCCTCCTCACCTGCCCCGCGCACCGGCGCAAACTTTCTCCCCTGCGGATTTCGAGGGCGACGAGGGCACAGCGCGGGGGGCAGCTTCTCGGCGGCGGTGGCGGCGAAGAAAGCGGGGTGGGGGCGGCGAGCGAGCGGCTCCCCGCAGGCCTTCTATGGATGTTTGCTGCGCGCTCGGCCGAGCCGGCGTTTTATTACGCTCCGAGGATCCTCTGCTCCTCCTCCCGGTGGCTGGCAGCCAGTGCAGGCCGGGCGCTCCAGCACCCCTCCTCCCGCGCCCGCCCGCCGGCCCTCCCCAGAACCCGGGCTTTTGTTGTACCCAGCCCCGCGGGGCGCGGGCTTCCAGAGCTACTAGTGCGCGGGTCGAGGCTAGCGCGCTCTGCACCTGGCTCCCAGCGTGCAGGGCCCCCAGATGGCCCCCTGTACTCTGTGTGCGCCTGGAGGCCAGTTCCCAAGGGCACCAGGCCGCCTACTGCCCTTAGCCTGGCTACTGGGTCTACACTGTCTGATTTGTTGTACTCACTGGGGTAGATTGCAGACACAGGTTGAGCAAAGGGGTGTGCCCTTTGGCTCAGGGGCCATTCCCCTTCACCCCTCCCTAGCAGGCTAGAGGCCTCCCTAAAAACCCTGGGACTCATTTTTGCAGTGGAGGCCTTAACTGTGTTGCTTGTTGGAGGAGGTAATGGGTGTAGTTGTTATCAACAAGACAGGGGTTTTATAAACTGGCCATATTTTAGATCAGCCAAATAGGGGCCTCAGGGGCAGGACTGTGTGAGTGGTGTTTGTGCAGAATGTACACAGATTTGAGTAGCAAAGAACTTTTCTGTGTTCCTGAAAAGACAGAGGAACTTACAGCTGTGGTCAGGGCAAAAGCACGGTGATCAAGCTGGGTCCTTGTGTCTGGGTGGTGACCCTGTGTCCCTCTGGACATTGGCAGTCCCAACAGGGAGATGACAGCTCAGGAAAAGAACACAATTAAAAATAATTGCCCCCCAGACAGCATGTGCTGACCTGGATGGGAAACGCCAGATAATCCTGAAAGAATAGAAAAATGGGTTCTCTCTGCCTATGCATGCTTTTGAAGCAGGCAACTTGGTAGAAAGTTAAATAGGAATAATAGTTATTTTTAGTACCCTGACAAATCCAGAGTCACTTTTCGGCTTTTGTTCACCTAAAATAGAGTTGTGTCGTTAGTGAGATGATGTTTGATGCTAACTTTTTGGAAGTATAGTTGATTCCGAGGGTTCATACACATCCCCTGCCTGTGGACTTTCATGTCTCTTTCATTCTTTTTTATTACAAGTGGAAACACTGCTGTTGGACTTCATAGTGCCTCGGCTTAGTGGACTCTGCCACCCAGTTTAGTTGGAAAGCAGGCAACTCAGGTGCACGCTCGTGGGCTTTTAGGCAAGACATGCACACCGGTGAGCACATACATGTTAAAATGGCAAGTGCTCTAGAGATAGGACTGATGGTGTCACAGAGAGGGTGTGGGGGACCTGTGGGGTACTGGGTTGCCAAAGGGGGAATGGTTTCTTACACAGAAGCTGGTTTCTCCAACCCACGATGCCTCATTTGCATTCTGCATTGTGAATTTCCTTCCCTGAGTCATGCACATGTAACAGCTGGACTTCCGGCCAAAAACACAAATCTCCTCTTGATCCCAATTCTGCTACTAGAGAGTAAGTAGCCGTTCCTTGGCTCCCCTAAGCTGTCTTCTCCACACAGACACTCACACCAGAGGTTTTCAGGTCTTGGCCTCCTCCTCTCCTACCTGCCCCTCGCCTCTCTCTTTACCTTCCTCCCTTTTTTCTTCTTCCCTCCATCAACAGAAGCATATTGGGATGTCTGCTGTAGCTTGGACACCATCCTGTGAACAGAACACTGTGGGCTCTGCAGGTCAGGTGAAATTCCCTGTGATGGGAGGCAGAGGACCCCAAGGCCCTGAGACCAGACAGGCTGCGCTGGCCTTGGTGGAGGTCAGAGATGTGACCAAGAAGAGAAAAGGAGGGGAGAGCAGGAGATGGATCAGAGAGCAGGGAGGGGACAGGGTGAGTGGTGCCCGAGTATGTGTGTTTGTTTCTGAGTGTGTACCTCTGTGAGGTCCAGCAGAGAGGGCCAGGAAGGAGGGGCAGGAACAGGCAGGAGGCCAGAAAGACACGGCCATGCACCCCTCTGCTCACCTTCCCAGCCTCCTTATCCAAAATGGGGCATTTAAAAAGCCTTCTCTTGGATTGCTGTGAGTGGTGACCTATGACCCCAACACCTAGGCCTGCCTGTATACTGCCATCAGCCTCAGTCCATTACCACCACCTCCCCTCCAGAGAGGACCCTCCCAGCCCAGCCCAGGAAACTGAGACTCCAGACTAGAAGGCACAGGGAGACAGGGAGTAGGTGAGGACCAGGCTGTTGGTGCACTCCTGCCTCTGCTCTGGGCCAGGCAGGCTCAAGCAGCATGACTGGGTAAGGGAGACCCAGGCCGTGATGTTCCACAGCCGATGCACTAGGAAGATCCCAGACCAGCTGCTTCCCCGTCACCTCCTGTACCTCTCCTCTTGGTACTGGCAGGTGGAGGTATGAGGGAGCCATGCCCGACATCCAGGCTCTGCTGTAGCCTTCAGGATATGGCTCCTACTTGCCCCAGAGCAGCAGCTCTTGCGGACTCTCAGGGCAGGCAGGAGGGGGCAGTGCTGGCCAGGCCAGTGATCTGGAGGTTGTAGAGAGGATTCCCAGGCCCTCATTTCCCTGAGAGGGCTGGCCTCACCCCCCTCACCAGGCTTTCCAGCACTGAGCTCTTCATCAGTCTCTCCCCTCCCTCCCATGACTGAGCACAGCCAACAGACACGCACCCCCCTACCCCCGACCTGGGGTGGGCTGGGTAAACATTACTCAGGGCCAAGAGGAAGTGCAGATGCTTCCTCCCAGGTACCACATCAGGGTGCTGTTCAGGCTGCCTGTCTTTCCTTGGGCAGGGCCCTCTAAGCAGGAGGAGAAGCTACATTTCTCAGAGACACTCCTTCCAGGTCTGGACCAGATCCATCTCCCTTGAGCTGCAGCCTTCTCTCCATTGAGACAGCTTGAGCGGAGCTGAAGCCCCCACACTCTTTCTGGCTGGTTCCCCAGAGCTAGATGCTCTCACCACAGCAGGCATCAAAGCTGGCCCCACACACCCAGGAAGTGGACCCTGAGCTAGCAGTCCAGGGCTCCAGAATCAGTGGGGTGTCTTGGGCAGGCCGGGGGGCTACAGACGGAAGTGGGATGTGTCTGTGGGTCTTGTCTTTTCTGCAGCCTGACAGGAGACTCCCATCAGCATCATGATGAGTCTCTCATCCAACTGCACCTCGGATTCCATCCACCATAGGTAGTGGCATCTGTCCCCAGTGTCCCCTGCAGGGATGCTTACCTAGGACACCCTGAGGATGACAAGCCGATGCATCAGCAGTGACTGGGGGTGGGCTGTGACTATGTGAGCATCTCTGTGGTCCGTGGTGGACGTGCAGGAGGATGTCTGACAGGAATTTCATAATACATGACACAGTCAGGGCTGGGCTTCTCAATCTTGGTGTGTTGACAGTGGGCCAGATCTCTCTGTGGTGGAGCATTGTAGGATTCTGAACAGCCTTCCTGACCTGGACCTGCCAAATGCCAGTAGCAACTTCGCTAAGTTATGACAACCAAATGTGTCCACTTCTTGCAAAAACTGCTCTAATTGAGCATCACTAACTTAAAGAAGCAGGTTTTTTAAGAAAAGTCTTCAATTTTGAGCAAAACAGGTGCAGAAATATGAACACCAGGGCTCTGTTGTATAGTGCCCTCAGTGTGGCTAGCGGGCAGCTTTGTCAGGGACTTGAGACTGGGGAGGGAGGCACTACCGACACTGGAGGAGGAGAGGCAGGAAATATGATTGATTCTTTCTAGAGTGTCCATGCTGAGACACCTTGTCTTAGACTTTGTATGACATTAAGTATCTGAGGGGACCTGGAGGGATGCATAGAAAGGCACCATCAAATTAGCAGGTAATACCTGTGCTCTGGGAGCCGAGAAAAGTGTGGAGTCCCCTCCCCAGGCAGGCAGCCTCTAGGACAAGGACAGCTGTGAGCCAGGGTTACAGGAGAAATATACCTCCTGACCTGGTAGATGTCAAATGTGTCAAGCTTGCGACTCTCAGATATCAAAGAATACATTTCAAGGGGCAAAGGAAGTCAGACCAGGAAAGCTTTATTAAGAGAAGGTTCCTGATCAATAGGACCAGTCTCAAAAGGGGTTGAAACTGAGGTTCTCTATCAGGGGTAAGTTCTATAGCAAAATCACAGCGTGGGTACAAGGTAGGTGAGATTACCATCGACCTACAGTGTTATGAGAGCGGCTCCTTAGCTAGTATTGATCTGATAGGGAAACAAATCATGCAGTGAGCGTACATGGAAAGGTGGAAGGAATTCTTGGAAAGGGAAGAGAACATGGGTTCAAGGGTTCTGGTTACTCACGGATGTATGTGACGCCTATGTGGGACTGCTGGACCAGGTGGGGCTGACCACAGTATAACCTTGAGGTGCTGCACATCTCCTGGGAGGGGAGGCATGCAGGCCTTGCTATTGCTTCTCTACCCTGAGGCCTGGCTCTCTTCAGCTGTGCCTCCAGCCGGTTCTGCTCTTTTATTTTTGTGTATGCGCATTAGCTTCCTTGAAGGCCCGGTTCCTCTCTGACTGTATATTAATTTCTGTCTAACTTAGCTGCCTCTCATACCAAGCCACCCACCTCAGAGGCCTGGGTGTCAGCTTCGGATCAACCCTGGGGGAGAGGGAGCATGACCTTCAGGGCTCCTAGCAGCAGTGCTGACACTGTCTCCAGTGGCTCTAGGGAGGGCACCAAGAGCAAAGGAGGTGTCCCCCAGTGAAGCCCATGGGTATACCTCCTCCAGGGATGCTGCCCTGGTACCACTGAGCTTCAGCCCTGCCCGGGATGCCTGCGGGGACCTCCTTCTACTGCGGCTCTGCAGAGGGCTGCCCCCTCCCTGTGGCCATCTTTGGCTTCCTCTCTGATGCCCAAGCAGGGCCCTGCCCCTCCTTCCAGGAGTGAGGGGTGCTCAGAGAGTCAGACTCCTGGGCCCTGGATTTCTAGGAGTCTACACCCAGGTTCTGCCCACCTTGTCTGCCTCCCTCACTCCCATCTGCCTGGCTC